GTGTTATTCATGTGTTATTGTGTGTTATTCATGTGTTATTGTATCCTGAGAATATTCTTGGAGTCAATAACACATGAATAACACACAATAACACATGAATAACACACAATAACACATGAATAACACGGAGGGGAATATTCCCCGTGTTACTGTGCCATTTTTTTCTCTTATCGCACGTGGCGTGATTTTATTGGCTACGCACCGTATTTCTAGGTGCGTAGTACTGATGTAATATTTTTCCTTTTGGAAGGGGTGTTCCTTCAAGTAGATGAATTATGTTATTTAAATTCGGTTTTGGAATGGAGATTAGTGAATTCCTAAAGATTTAGGGTTTATTTTACTCGAATACTTAATGATACCAATCTAAGATTCTTAGATGGTGTGTGGGGAACGATAATAGGTTTGGAGTGTTGCATGATAAAAGAAAAGGGGAAAAATCCGTCTGGAAGAGGGGAGAGGGGCAGCTGCAGCCCTCCGTGGAAAAACATCTGTCTAGGGCAATGATGTATGGACTTCAGAAGGTTTCCCCAAATGTTTTCTTCAAGATACAGATGTATGAACATCAAAAGGTACCTTCTTACACCTCTACAGTGATCAATAGTTACTGTTCTTGCTGTCCTGCCTTGGTTTCATAACCATTCCCCTCAATCCCCCAAACACACCATCTTCAGGAACCGTTAAATCAGTGTCACTTCTCCGCCATATTCATATAGTTGGCTAGCAAGAAAAGCGTAAAAAACATGAACCCGAGCATCCCATGCTAAAGAACATGGCAATTAAAAAGCCAGTCAAGTCCACAGTAAAGAAAGACCTTCCCAGAAAACTTAATGTCTCAAATATGACGGAAAAGAAAAGTCTATAAAGCAAGTACATTTTTGCAAAATTAAAACCATCAAGTGTTACAAAATATTGAATATAACATCTAAAAATCTAGCAAAAAAAAAAGTTGCTGCAGAATAAATACAAGCTACACGGTACAGAAACCTAAATACATTATTCAATAAAAAACTATCATGGATTTACGCAAGTTACTCACGCTTATGGTACTTTGTGTGCTGGTAGCTGCTGTCCGCCAATTAATTCCACATGCAATAAACAAAATTTACAAATAAAACACAGATAAAAGATATTTAATAATAAAAAAATTTAACGTTGATGAGTACAAGGTGAAACAAAAAGAAAATTGAAAATACCACACTTATTGATGATCAAAACAGGGAAAATCTGATTAAATAGAAAGCCAAACTTGTATAAATCTTCTAAACTTCAGAAGACTTCATTAAAATAATACACATTCTCATTTTTGAACCTGTTCAGGTATCATTTAAAATTTTTTTTGAAAAAAATTATTCATGATAAGTGACGCCATTCTAGGGCTCTTAGAGAAAAGTGGGTGTAGAATACCAAGGAAATGAAACAAAAGGGATATCGACAACATTTGGAAGGGTGGAGTTTGGCGGCTGTATGACCTGAAAACAACAGTCAAATAGTGAAATGGCAAGGGGTTCCACCATCCTAAACAAGATAAAGACGTACCACTTTGCAAAAGTAAGAAGATACAACACTTCTTAGAGAATAAATCAGATATCACAATCTCCTCAATACATAATACTAAAGTTAGCTGCGTCAAAATAGCGAAACACAAAATATATGAGTTCCCAAAAAAAAAATAACTTGATTAGAAATAGACAAAAAAAATCAAAATATAAAAACGGGTTTCCACAGTCATGCGGAATCTCCCACATCATTCACCCTGACTATGAGACTTGTTGTTCTTCTTATCAAGAGACTACTGGAATCATCCTATCACAATAACAAAGGCACTCAACTGTTGTGGCTGAGGAATCCACACTATAAAGTTTATTCTCACTTCTACCCGATAACCCCGAAACACGTCTCTGTCTAATGGATATTTCGTATTTATTAGTGTGAATTAGCTAGAGTTTGTTTTATATTTTGATTTGCTATAGTTTCTCCTTTTTTATTATGTTTCTAGCGATTCTGAGGTTTGACGATCAACTTCTCAAATTGTACATCATCCACTGTATCTTGTTTGTTTGCTTTGATATTAATCAAATTAGCCCTAGATTCAGTTTTCCCACATATCTATTGGAAGTTGTTTAATGATTTTGGCTTCTGTTTGTATCATACAACTACTCCAATATGGTATGCCAATGCATAAAAATTCGTGCAAAATCTTTCCTTTAATAATAAGTTAATAAACAGAATAGGATTAAAAAAATTTAGGAAGATTTACATACATAACACTTAATTCATATGTATTTACATATCCAAAACCTAAACTTCAATTTATATACATGTGTCACCGTATCTATGCTTGAAAAAATGTATCTCACTTTTTAAAAGATAAAATGATAATACTTTTGATGTGATGAGAGAGAATTGGGTGGCATAAATATAAAAAAGCAAAATTTATATGTAAATACATAGGAATCGTGTGGTATGTATGTAAATGCCCATAGTGCTTATCCAGATGTGCAATTCTGAAAGAATGGATGGTAAAAATGTCAATTTTCTTTATAGTTGTGGGATATTGCTCAACTAGTTTAAAACTCCAGGTTCATCGAAGCTAAAAAACTTGGCAGCATGATATCTCTCCAAAACATTTTCCTTCTTTAATACAAAATAACTTCCAAACATGTCATTTAGGAGTAGAATAAAGTTGTAAAATACATACACAACTTTTGGTGAAGTGCAAAGATGTAGCATTTGCCAAAATGTGTATTCAATGTCCATTTGTTGCCACTGCAGCACAAAAGAAAACATTAAGCCAGCATCAGATCACATGCAGAAGAAAATATAGCAGATTCCTTTAAGCTAAAAAGAAAATTGAGATGAATTAATTGGTATGCATTTTCCGTAAAATCACCTACAATGCATTACATAAAATCATTCATAATATGCCACGACACTTGTCCAAGCCCATGTTGTGCAAGCATATATTTACAAACATACCACTCAACTCTTATGTATTTACATATCTAGCACCTAATTTATATTATTACATGTACACCACCTTACCTATGCATGAAACGGCGCATTTTACATTTTAAAAGTTAATAGTGGATTTCTTTTTTTTTTTGTGTGTGTGATATGAAAGATTTGGGCTGTATTAATGTAAAAAGTAAAATTTAGGTGTTAGATATGTAGATACATAAGAATTGGGTGGTACGTATGTAAATGCCCCTTAATTTAGATATAATACCGTCCAATTTAGTGCTCTGACACATCTTACAAGAGGCTTCATAGCAAGGTCAACTTTTACTAGGTAAGAACAGCAGCCTACTATAGTCCCATTTATTCATTATTACTTGATGCTCTCCAAAAAGGTTAAAGAAAAAAATGAAACTTTCAAGGATCCAACCAAATGGGATAGAATCAATTCATTATTTTTTTTAAGCAAATTTACTAAATTTCTGCAGGCTCGAAATTTTAAGAATACAATTTCAAATTTTCAAACAAATATTCAATTGCAAATATTAGTCTATTGGGGGCAGCTGCAACTTATTGAATAATCTGCTGATAAGCAGCTTACCTTGATAAGCCGCTGATCAGTAGCTTATCCGGATAAACTGACTGACTGTTTGGGGCAGCTGTTTGTGGATAAATGACATTATGTCTCTATTAAATAATGTTGTTTGTAACTTTGTCTATCTATTACTACCATTGTGTTGAGTTATGACATGAACTTATATTGACTTGATTGTGTTGAGTTATAAACACTATCTTGACTACATTTTAAGAAAATTGATAAGGAATCTCGAATGCACAATGTGTAATATTCAAATCTGCACATCAAAAAATCACATTCAAGAGTCTTTAAGGGGCATTTATATACATGAACCTCCTAAGAAGTTTTGTTAAGCATCACTATGCACTTTTTTTTTTCTTTTTTTTTAAAGATCTGCATGCAGATCACCGAATTGATATGCATAATACTCAAACCACAACAAACCGCCACATGCATAATACTCAAACTACAGCATCCGAAAGCACATCTCATCAAAGCCACCATCACCAATGCAATAACAACACCACAAATCCAACACCCCACCAAAGCAATAACAAAACCACCATCACCAATGCATAAAACCAAAACAACAACCGAAACCAACATCTCATCCTCTACATTTCAAAATAATAAAACAAACAGCAACAACCAAAATCACCATCACCAACAATCAATACCCTCACATACTACGAATAGAACACAAATCAAATGCGAGAAATAACCAGATACTAACAAATTTTTGCAACTCTCGGAAAAACCAACAATTAAATTCACGAAGGCAGAAGATGCGGGCTTAAAGGATAGAGAATATCGTATGAAGAAACACAAAACTCTTGAAATAATGCGAGAGAGGGAGGGTTAGAGCAGATGAATGCGAGAGTGGGTCGATTAGGAGAAAGCTCCTAGATTAGAAGAAACGGGGAGCAATCCGAGGTACGATTGAAGCAGAAGAGGAGAAAGCAGAGCCGGGGAGCAATCCGAGGTACGATTGAAGCAGAAGAGAAAGCAGAGTTGAAAGGCGAGGGCAGCTTCGACAAATAAAATGAAAAAAAGCGGGCCACGGGGTCGAACTCGCGGCCCCCATTTCATTTAAAACGCTCCCTGAACCTGAGCAAACGCCGAAACAAATGACGATTAACCATGGTTTGGGGATGCGCCGCAGGTAAACCGCACCCCCAAATGGCCCCTTAATATATCTTTGTTGAAATAAGCACGTGTAAGACATTCTCTAGATGTTGTATACTCAAACAATTAATTACATGTGTGTTTGTATAAGGTCTATTATAATACAAGATAAATTAACAAGCTTACGAGCACTAAAATGACAATCCATACATGTTAAGGAAGACTTGTTATGCTCCTTCAAATATGATTGAGAAAGAGAAAATTGTCAAAACGATCATTTTAGTCCCAAAGTTCATAGAAGTTTCAATTTAGTCATTAAACTCTTTTAATATGGGTTAAAATAGTCCACGTTAAAAATAAATTTAACCCCCATCAAGATAGCCAAGAAATTAATTTAGCACTTTTATAAACTCTAAAACTAAAATGACCCCGAGTAAACAGTCATGTGACTATTTTGATACTTTACTTAACTGAGAAATGATATGGCATGCAACTGGTTAATTCAATCACTAATTATATTATATGAATGAAGTTCTTAACACTTAGGGTTATGAATGATTAAAGTAGGCGTGGGAAACTTGAGAAAGAGGAGAGGAGGAATTATTTTATCTCTGTTACACCTTCCTATAATTGATGGTACAACGATTAAAATATAAAGAGAAATAATAAATGAAAGTTACAAAAAAAAGGAATACCCGACCAAGCAAACTCTAGGAAATAAAGCAACACGATCCTTGGAAAAATACATAGGAAGACAACAAGAAAAGGAATACCCGACCAAGCAAACTGTAGGAAATCAAAGCCTTTCATGAAGAGCTAATCAGAAATTTGATACGTCTCAGAACCAAAATCGATGAACAAACAACGACGGAACGACATTAGATAGGTGAAAAAAACACAAATGAGGGCTGCTCTTACAAAATATCAAGGGAAACAAGCAAGATACAAGGTTGATCTATTATTCGAAAGGTAGATCATCTCTCCCATACCGAAGACGTTACTAGGAACACCGCAAGAAGAAAGAAAATAACAGCCGCAACAAAACATGTAAGAAAAAATAAACTATAACTTTCTCCCCTTAGAGAATCCTCCCACAGCCTTTTGAAAGCTTTCCTTTTCCACTTTCCCTCCAAATGTGTTTTAATTTCTCCTCCTTGATTATATAATTAAGCCTTTGGTGGACCGCAAACTCTCCCCACCTTCTTCTCCTGCGGCAAAATGTCGCTCCGCCTCTTCATTCGAACAGGATCAACTCACCTATGGGTTTGATGGGCCGATGGGAGGGCATTTGACCGGTCCCTCCCCGATCGGCCCCGTGATGGGCGTAGCATTACTCCCCATGCAATCCACTTAGCCCATAGCTTTGGTATATCGGATACAAAATAACGCAGGTATGTCTCCACACTCCTATTGACCGCCTCCGTCTACCCATCAATTTGGGGATGATATGTGATGCTTCTTTTAAGGATTGTCCCTTGCAACCTGAATAACTCGTTCCAGAAGTGGTTGAGGAACACCTTGTCCATATCTGATTCAATTGATTCTAGCACTCCGTGCAAACAGACCATTTCCCGGATAAACATCACCGCGACTGAAACCGCAGCTTAGGAATGTCGTAAGAGAATGAAATGTGCATATTTACTCAAGCGATCGACGACCACCATGATCACCACAAACCCTTCTAACTGTGGAAACCCTTCAATGAAATTCATTGTCACTTTTTCTCAAACATTTCCCAATAATGTTAATGGTTGTAGTAACCCTCTTGGTGAAGTGGTCAAGTACTTATGTCGCTAGCACACATGACATTTTGTTACCATGTTTTCCACATCTCTACGCATCCCTACCCAACAAAGTTTTGTCGCCCGACAACTGTAGGTCTCTTGCACCCTAAGTGTCCCTCGATCGCACTGTCATGAAACTCCTGTAATAATCTAGGAATATACTCCAACTTCTTGGGTAGCGCGAATTGACCCTGGTGGAGCAGCTGCTGCCCACTCAATGTATATACTAGATGATCATTCGGTCCTATAGCAACTCAACTATTATCTTCCTCAACCCCTCATCACTTTTGTTCTCCCGTCTCAAGGCTTCCCAATCTAAGACCAAGGTTACCGATAGGGCCGTCAATTAGGTTTCCCCCACCTCTCTCAATAGTGTGTCAGCTACTTTGCTCTCCAATGTTGGTCGGTACTGAATCTTGAAATCATACCCTAGTAGTTTGGATAGCTATCTCTGATACTCCTCGATCATCATCTACTGCTCCAAAATATATTTTAAAAACCCCTGATCTGTCCTGACAAAAAAATATCTCCCCAACAAGTAGGGCCGCCACTCATGAATGACCAAAACAATTGTCATCAATTTTCGTTCATATACCAACTTCAACCTTGCTTTGGCGGTAAGAACCTGGCTGAAGTATGCAATTCGTCGTCGATCCTGAATGAGCACTGCTCCCAATTCATACCATGATGCATTCACGTCGATCCTGAATGAGCACTGCTCCCAATTCATACTATGATGCATTCATCTCTACCACAAATGGTTTACTGAAATCTGGAAGTGCTAAAACCAAGACGCTAGTCATGACCCTCTTCAAATGTTCAAATGTTTGTGACGCTGCTTCACCCCATTCGAAATTGTCTTTCTTCAAGTGCTTCATCAGTGGCCATGTTATCGTGTCATATCCTCTCACAAACTTTCTGTGGTATCTGGTGAGACCTAAGAATCTTTCAACTCCTTCAAATTCATGGGTAAGGAAATCTTGGATTGGTCCACTGCTACTCCAGTTTTGGTCACCACATATCCTAGATACTCCACTTGTAACTGTCCAAAAGAACATTTCATGAAGTTATTATACAACTGCTGCTCCCTCAACTTCTCTAAAACTGTCCTCAGGTGCCCCACGTGCTGTCTCTGTACAACTGTAGATCAGAATATCATTGAAAAAGATCAGAACAAATTTCTAGAGATAATGTTGAAAAACCTATTCATAAGGGATTGAAATGTTGTCAGGGCGTTGGTGAGGCCAAACAACATTACTAAAAACTCGTAAAGTTCTTCTTGTGTCTTGAATATCATCTTGTACGCATCTGTTAGATTCACCATGATTTGATAGTACCCTGACTTAAGATCATTTTTTGAGAAAATGATTGTCCCATAAAGTTAATCCAGTAACTCATCAATCACAAGAATAAGAAACTTGTACCACTATTTCCTTGTTCAAAGTCTGGTAGTCCACGAGAATCTCCATCTATTATATGTTTTTCTTCACCAACAGGATAAGACTGAAAAAATGGCTCACACTAGGTCTGACAATTCTAGCCTCGAGCATTTCTCGAATCAGCTTCCCTATCTCATCCTTTTGAATTTGGTGGTACCTGTATGGTCCACAATGATGGGAGGAACACCCTCCTTCAATGTAATAATGTGCTCGTGCTCTCTCCAAGGAGGTAAGTCACTTGGCTACTAGATAACAACAGTAAATTGTTGTAGAAGTTGTTGGACCACTTCCAGAAACTCTGCCAACTCTGAATCTCAAACCTCTCAATACTCTACAACTCCACCAAGATATTCAGTCCTGCTCCCCGAATCAATTTGACCATTGTTCTGAGCGACACTATGGTTTTGCATAAGCTATTCTCTCAACACCATCTTACTACCCTCCATTTGGAACTCCATCATCAAGGTCTTCCAATCCACCTCATCTCTCCCAATATTCACAGTCACTTCATCTCCAAAATCATATTTGTGTAGGACTGGTTGCAGGAACAATTAGATGCCCATAAAGGAATTAGATTTCCTGGCCAGGATCCAGGGAATAATTATTACAATCTACATTTCCACAAAATGTTATGAAATGTTATAATCTCACAAAAAATATTAAATGCTCATTATTTTTACTTTTAAAATCATAGCATAATTCATATGTTAGTCTCCTGTGGAAACACGAATGGATTCTTTATCATCTCCATCTTCTTTTTCAGCCAAAATTTGCATTAATCATTTAGGTTAGATTGAAAAAAAAATGAATGATGACTTAGAAAGTCAAGCAGGAATAAGAGGTGCAGCATTCATAAACTAAAGATGTAATACGCAAATATGTTCATAGCAGCAAATCTTAAAAATACATGCTTCAAAATTGGTGCCTGGTCATATTTTATGAATGATATTATTGTAAAATAACATTAAGAAAAAAGTTAAAAATAAATTTTTCCAAGTGGCAGGGAAGTTTTGTACTAATTTTTTAGGTTCTAGTAAAGGACAAAATCATGTGCAAGAAAGTTATATAGCCACAAGAGTTGCATGTTTCATCATATTATAACGTAAAATGAAAAGAATGTTTATAGCATCAAATTCTTAAAATTCCATTTTATGATTTTGCTGCTTGTATGTTTGCTCACAAGTGTAGGTCCGAATTCGTAAGTCATGGAAATGAAAATAATTACATGTGTTTGAATTCAAATTAACTACAACGTTTCAATTTCTTTAATAGAAGCTACATAAAATCTTTCTTTGTCTGCTTGAAAACTTTATTTGAAGACCCTAAGAATTGGAATAATTGATGGAAATAGGTGGAAATGATGACAACTCCATTATTTGGCTGGCAACCGAAGTAAGAAGCTCAACTTCCATTGATTAAGAACTTGAAAATATACCCTTTTTTTTTTGCTCAATCTGATTAAGATCACAAAGAAGTGGGACTTTTGATTTCTTCACAACCACACATTTATATCCCATATAAAGAAAACTACCACATAACCTGCATAACCTTCTTTATATTGATGCAGATAAGCAATAAATCAGATTTTCAATTTCCTTTTCTAAAATTTAAACCATCAAATATTTATGTAGGAGATTTCAGCAAACAAAACATCCCCAGAAGAAGCAAAAAAGTGGTTTGTGGGTCTATAAAATTGACAGAATCTCTCTAGAAATTCCATTTAGTACCACATGATTGATTTCTTCTGCGGAATCTATCATATCTTAATATAAAACCATGGATTCCTCCCCATCTAACCGTGCCTTCCAGTATTAAAATCGAACGTCAGCTAAATGACAGAATTCTCGAACCATGTGGATTCCAGCTCCCTAAGAACCCAATCAGAAAACTCTTTATTAATGTAAAATAACAGGGAATGAGGTGAAGCATTCAAGAATATCGAGATCACAGGAAACGGTGCACGAATTTAAGTCAATCGCTGAAACTTGCAAATATTTGAACTGAACGGAGAGCTGTTACCTTGACTATTCTGCGGAGGTAATGGGCGGAGACGGGAGAGGGGCGCACGCTGGAGGTCGCGCGCCCTTTCGACACCGTCGGCAACATCGCCCCCCCCTC